TCATACTAATATATGACTATGGAACATAATATAAAAGCTATCAAATGCTCTGGTACGGTCGGGGGTGGGGAGAATCAGAGCTCCCTCTCGTAACGCTCTCACATGGTCACGCGTATACAGTCGCTCTCAGGGAAGTTTTACTCACTACCTTCTCGTGGTAGCGATGCTGTTTACGAAATTCAGAGGACGAAAAGCGAATGTCTGGAGCTTTAACTGAGTTGGTGTACACAGAGAGTCTAACTAGGGGAGTTGGAAAACCCTGATTCCAAACCATTGGTACATATGGGCTCCACGATCCTAAGGAAACAAAAGGCGTATAAACCTTTTGTTGGTTAGCGGTAACTATGGGACTTCATCTTCTAAGGCTGCTCCACCGCCATGTAGATTAGACCTCTATATCAAAGGCTCAGCGAGTGACCTCAAAAGAAAACCACCTGCTTCAGTTTAGACGCTCGGGCATTACACCAGCCCTCAAATAAATCGAATGACAGTGTGGTGCATGTACATCTGGTGTCTCCTTTTATCAATGTTTATGGGTTTAAATAAATAAATAAATGGTATGCATAGGTTGTAGGTAGTTGAGTCACTCATCACTCATCAACTACTCCCAACACGCTAGTTTAAACGAACACTGGAGACTGACATACCAGTCCCTGAAATCATGAACTCTCGACCTAAGCTATATTAATTGTAGGCTTCCTGGTGGAGCCCCACAAGATAATCTATGAACGAAGGCCTTAAGTGGTATGGCAGCAGTGACATGGATCTATATCTACTTTATTTTACCTTGAATTTATTAGACATTCTTCTCCTTGACTTTATTCGTAATCTTTTATACACATTCTTTATTTGGTTTTAAACAGAAACCATACTCTACCGTAGTTTCTATTTAGTTGCCTTTAATCTTGTTACTTATCTGTTGTTGTGATGATACTAAACGTGGCAACTTAGACTGATATACCTTTGTGCCGAATTCCATGTACGTGACTGGCTGACTTTTAATGTCTTTCAAACTTACAACTTCCTACGTGATTTACGTAATCAACTTATTATACTGAAAGAAACAGGTCAATGGATAGTAATCAGTTTCATACTATCCTCAGTAGTAATACACTTTACCAATATATAGCTAACAATGATTTGAGTCTTTGAAGTAGGGGTAACTCTATCAGTTGATTATATGTCTTGTTGATAAGGACTAACAAGCACGAAACCTATTTTCAGAGGTTCCTATGAATTAAATCCAACTATGCTTAATTATACACCGCCTATTTATGCCTTGTTTATTATTTCGTTACCCTCCCTCACCCCCAGGTTAACTCTTTAATGTATTATATTAGTGTGTCGAATAAAAGTGCTGTTACCAATAGATTAGATTTCACTGTCTCTGTAGTGTCCATAATATTTTTACTGTCTATTAAACTGGTACTAACTTGAAGGTACATAAAGAAGTCTTCACATGTCAGTTAGTCAGTCAGTTACAACGTCGAACCAGGTACATATGTGCATCGGTCCAAGTTGCCACACCTCATTAGCATAGCAAGGTAGCAACAACGGTCGCGAGTCTTCACATGATCAGTAGTTAAAATTAATGAAACCCTAAAATGTGAAAATTTTGGTTACTAGAGAACATATTTGGACAGCCTTCCTTATAGTTTGGAGGATACAAAATATAAACAGATAAATATTGAAAACCTATAAAAACTACATCCGCTGTATAGTTTTGGCATACACAGAAAAAATAAAGAATTGAAAAATGTGATTTCCACAGGAGGGGAGTGCTAAGCACAGCTACACTTGCTGAAATATCTAGATACTAAATTTTAGCATATGTAATATCAACTACAAACATTTTGGTAGTACGAGTTATTACCATCTATATGAAAAGTTTACTGTTTTCCAGACGCGGAACAAGTAAAAATTTGTATCCAGCCATAAGACAAAACCAGTTAACAAATATTGTTGTGCTGAGCTGAATGTGGTGCTTAGTTACCTATATTACCAACATTTTTAAGCCGCAACAACTGATACAAATATTTAGTTTGCATAACGTAGTTCACAGAACCAGGTGTATTTCGGGGTTTGACCACAACAATTAGACTGATAAAATTGACAGAGTGTAGCTGTAATATTGACGTATAAGCTTACTTGATGATGCACTCACACACTATTAGATAAAAATCGAATGATAGTGACGATGATACTGACGAACAGTACTGTAAGTCGACACACACCTTTAGTTAATAATACTAACAGATAGTTCCATAAAGATAATTATTAGCAGTTTATAACGGTTTGAAGTTATATAGAAAAGGCATTTAGCATGTAAAATCCGATAAATTAGGCTGTTAGTAAGAGAATTCTAGTTAGTAATTCAGTATGTAAAGCAAAACATGAGGTTAGGCTAATTGAACGTATTCATATGAACTACACATGTGGTCTAGTATATTAAGCAGGATCAAAAAGAATTAAAAACGGAGGCAAGTACGTATGATGTGAAACCAAACGTAAGGTTACAAACCAGACTAGATTAAAAGTGAAGCACCGTGCAGGATTTTCGTCTAACTGCACCGCACCTATAGGGGAGCATCCAAACAGATAGGCAACGGGTATTCCATAAAATTGCCAGCATCAACACAAATTCTATGCATATAAGAGAATTTCTATACAACGAGAAAATAACTTGAATGATATACAAGTACTCGATACCAAAACTCACAGTTTTGCGGCGATTTGACCGCGTTAGCTTGGTTATACCAACCAGGTTGATAATTTTTTATGTAAATAATAAATATCCCAAACGGCATATAAATCCACGCACTTATATCTACCTAGAGAGACTCAAAATTAACCTCCTGGAATTATCCAAGTAATTACATTCAGACAATTTTTTGAACTGAGCGGCTAATATTTTACGACCACTCATATTTCAAGGTTAAAGAATCCAGTTTTTACTGGCTAAATTCTTACTTGTTTCTATACCTTCATTGGTTGGCACGTTTACAAGGTCAGATTGTAGATATGTGTTGTCATTCATCGAATCTATTTTTGGAAATGTTTCGTGAACTAAGGCACTAGTCTCTGAAGTATGGTTCGTGTCAGTTTCATTATCGGCTCTATAATCTGTAGCTAGCAGAAATGAAAGCATCAGAACTTTAAGTAATTAATGAATTTTCTGATTTGCTATATTTGCAGTCGTCACCTTTGATAGTTTTAGAGTACTCATCTGAAAACGTATACCTTTCACACTGACTTCATGATGTTTGTATTATAAGTCCGAAGATTTTAATCTCTTAAAGTGATAGAATTAGGTAAAAGGAACTTGCTCCACAAACTATGTGTCATACAAGGTAAAAAGTATTTTAATGAGTTAGAAGATATTTACTTCAAGAAACCTAATTGCGGCAAAGAAAAGTTGAGATCAAAATGAACTCCAGCTAGTCCATCACTAATTACTAAGTCAGTTATCGTTCTTAATCCTCTGATCGTAATCCAATAAAATACATTTCCATGACTTGTTTTACTTCACATGTAACGACTTCTCATGAAAATTTCTCGATCTTGATTAGTATTCAAATAAGTGGTTCCATAGATCACGGCAGTTATTTATTAGTGACAGTGTGTGGGAATCGCACTATATTCCAAGTTGACTACAGTCTAAATATATGTATCATTCGATTCTCAGCCAGCGGCTCAATAACAACTTGCTCATCACAAGAAATTAGGTTTCATGGTTAATCGTCACGTAATATCATAATTGTAGATTGTTGAGAAATCTGAAACTAATATAACAAACCCATACAGTACTTTAATTAACTTCTCTTTCAGAGAGGGTATATTTTCTGTGGTTGATGAGTACAAACTTCGAACGTTAAGCCGTCAGAAGATGACATTGAATGAATAATGACATGGAACCGCACTCAATCAACAACTTTCACAGCTTTGAAATGGAATTTTTGTTGTGGATTTGAGTCTAAGTAGTGCTAAAATTGAAACTATGAAATATAAACCTTGCTAATTGGTTATTCTCGACTTCGATTACACGTTTTGGATTATACGGCTAAAAACAATAACAATTATAATAGTATCAATAATAATAATGATAATAAATCATAAGTTTCTTTTCTAATTAAAAAGGAAACTAAACTTCCTAAAACACTGAATTATCCAAGGAGAACTCATTACTCAATCCCCCTAATATTGCTAGCCTATTGTATTTCTCAAGTTTAATTACTTTCCAAAGCAAATGCCAAAAATCTCCTGTATGTCAAAACTATAAAAAAAACATTAACAATGATTGGCACAGTAAATCTCTTTGTAGATTATTAAGGATTAATTTAAAGAGAACAAATGATGTAAAATTGTTGGTTAGTCAAGAATCAGCAATATCGTTAGGATAATTGAATTGTTATATTTCCAACTTCTCCACTGAGTATTTACAATAGAAATAAAAATAACTATTAGAATTGTTATTAAATACGTGATAGTAAATAAAATGTATTGAAATTTCTTGCATATGTTCTTTTTTCAGTTCGACTTATGAATTTGTAATTTAGTTAGTTAGTATTAATTAGATAAACAAAAACGAAATACTTGAACTTATAGACTTCGAGAATTTCTATTTAAAAATGTGTTTTATAAAAGAAAATACCATACAGTGAAACTATATTAAGCAATAATCCCAACTTAGTAACTCTATAATGGTTCATGTACATATTTTGCGTGATGTAGATACTAAAAAAATATCAACCTGCTATTTGCCTCAAAAATGAAAAGAAATTCTGGTTTTTATAAATACACTAGTTAAGTGATCTGTCATTCATGTTGCTTTACAATGTATACTGATCTTGAATGTATGCAAACAAATTATGCGTAAACCCAACATGGGAATTGATGAACTAATTGGCCGAACACAACCTACATTATTCTTTTAAATATCAATAAAAATATTGAATTGATCATAACAAAATAGTTTAAATCAATCAAGTCAATAGCTTTACCTCGTCTTCTTTTCTCCAATCAATATCTTCATCTGTATGTGGACCTATTGAATCATTCATTGAACCGACTGGCGCTAATGGAGGGGGTGAACAACTTCGAGCTATTTTGAATGTCTGCGTCCCAAGACGAGGTCTTCGTTTAACTACGGCAGACGCTGTATTTCCTGTTGATGAAGACTCTCGAACTGATCGACGTTTTTGGTAATGATGACGTTGTTGTGATCTCAAAATTGGAGCTTCATTACAGGTTAAGTTTCTCATAGAGCCTACTCGATATCCAGTTAAGCCATCAACCACTTGATAACGTAATCTCTTGAGTCGTAAAGAGACTTGGTTTCGCGCTAAGAGAAATATAATGAATTATTAATAAAGTTAAACAATTAGATGAATGATTAATCTAAATTAGAGTGTTTTGCACATTATTTTAGTGATAATCATGTAAACACTTACAGCGAATCTGCTCAACGACATCTTCATGATTCAGATCAATGGCCGAAATACCATTCACCTATAGGAGAATCAATAAAACAGATTGTTAATGTATGAAATATACGTTGGCTAAGATAGAAATCACCAAAACTTGGTATTCTCCAAATTTAATGACATGACTCAACATTAGCTATCAATAAAAAGTGTTATCAATATACCTTTGTTCAATGATAGTCTATATCCATTACGTGTGTTACCTATTTTTATATATATATACACTAGTTTTCTTATGATGACTCATACAGTCACCACTATTTCTGGAGACGTATTGTTTTTTTTATTCCGATTGCCTGATTCATCAACTCAAAAGAACAAAAACAGAAGAGTGACAGGAAGCTACAGAATTTAATCCACATGCCATATAAAACATAGTGATTTGCTGATAGGCTTTCATCTCTTAATCTAAACGCTAGAAATTTATAATGATGAAGTACCACACATTGACTGAAATAAAACAGCATTATATTCTTCAATATTAATTTCTTTTTTGAAAACTAGTTCAATTTTGATCATACTGATTCTAAGACCTCCTAAACATATTTTATTCATTCCTCAAGTCTCACACTTGGTGTGCATGATAGGAAGTAACATTCTGTTATTGAGTAGAAAGAAGGCTGATAAATTATTGGTTAGGTTGTTTCAATATAAACATACATGTTTCAGTATGTCAGGCATCAAGATAACGCTCCACGTTTGTTTGAGCTGAGTGTAAACATGTAGATACTGTCTTGTTTTTCTAACTTCACGATCCTCAGTAATTTAATGTAATAAGGTCTGTTATGAATTTCACATTGTTTAATTGATAAGAAAACTTAGAGACGTGTAACTATACAAGATCTATCGTTTCTTACCTGGAGCATTACAGTTTATTGGTTTAGGTAGTTGAGTAGCACTATCGGTGTTATCGAATAAATATAGGCTGAGGCACAAAAATATTCTTGTGCAGTATTTCGAAATTATTTTCTGACTTTTGTAGTGCACTTCCATAGGTTTCTGTCAGTATTTTTTGAAATCTACTAGATTTTGTATTCACGTAGAAAAAATTGTCTCCGTTTAAACTAATTAGTCAGTTTTCCACCTTCAGGTTGTCTAGTTCCATTACTGACATTGTTCAAGATAATGCTTTATCGTACTATTTTGTTATATGCGATATTTTAAAATAAATTTTTTGTTGCTAGTTTAGATCAGGTGAACCAAATTGTACTTGTTTGACAGGTTGTCATTGCAGTAAGTCAATTCAAAACTGTCAAATCAGCCTTATGTTGTTTTAGTTAACAAATAAACATGTTTGTTAGCTTTAAAAAATGATTAATAGTATGACATGTAAAACTCTCCCATTCTGTGTCTATGTCAACCACAACTTGTATTTCACATATACTGATTTCAATTAACCATATGGGCAAACATTTTGGAGGTTAGGTGAACATTTATCAAGGAATAAAACATTATAAGTAAAGGATTATGGAAATCGTTGAGTTCCATTAAATCCATGAAGCAATCAATTTTAGACCACCGTATAAAGCCTGGAGGCACTGGACGACCATGTCCTTCTAGTATGGAATCCCCGGCAATGCGCAACCATGACCTCAAGCGGAGGACTCGAACCCAGGACCTTTGTTCTTGCTTACGAACACTCAATCTCTAAACAACCGAGATTACATCCAACGGTCCGGATGTTCAGCTTCATTCAATCTACGATACTGCGTGATTATCTTCCATTGTCTTCGGTTGTAACTACCGCACGCTCGATACGGTTGAACTCCACTGGTTAAAGCTTCTCTAGAGAACCCCAAGAATTTCCTCTCGAAACTGATCTCTAATGAGCAAATGATTGCTGTAAGTTTAGAGTTTTCAATAGTATTCTGATATTGACCGGTTCATGATTTCAGTGTAATAAAACATTTGTTAAGATTCTTTTATATTTCTCATTCATGATTATTAGTCCATTGGTCATATTAGGTTAACATGATGAATTGTCTCAACATCCACAAATCATTCGCTTTTTACTAAAACATATTTCATACAGTAATATATTACCTTTTATTTTATAACACTGGATTCATCAGTAAAATACTAAATTGTTCCAATCTTCCAAAAATTATGTTAAAAGTACGGATAGATTATGCTTCTATCATTAATGTAAACAAAATGCCCCAATAATTTTCATTTAATATGATGTGAAACATCTAATCAATTATCATGCACCAAACAATTTACAAAATGAATTCTTATGACTGAATAATATAAAAGCATACCTACTGTCAGGAGTTTTGTTAATTACCTATCTTTCAACTCAATAATTATGATGTCTGTTTATAGAAAGCAGACTTCTTTAATTTTGTCACACCACATCGGTGCAGTAAAATGAAAATGTCAAGAACGTTACCGAAGACCCATGAGTATTCATATTAGTTGTTGTAACAAAGGTAGTAAAAGAGACTAGACATGGATAATATGATTGATGAAAAAATATTAGAGAAACAACATGTACTAATAATTAAAAAATTCTGGATCTAAGTCACCTGAGAAGTTGCTGCCGATTGTCACATACGTCACCCAACATCTTCACTACTGGTCACGGCAGTCGTAATTACTTTAATTAGGTAGTCTGCACTTATCAACATGACTCAAATTAGATTGATATCGTGCTTAGATTTAGCAGTCCCTTGCATTTTTCTAAACTACTCTTATACCAGCTAACATCATATGCTAAACTGAGTGAAGATATTGCCATCTCACCTAGGAGATAATGATCTTACTTTAAGAATACATATAACCAAATTAGCGTCGATAAGTGATATCTATAAACATTATTACTAACTTTTAAAGGAAACCCATGTTGGAAAACAGAAGCATTTTTAGTCGATCTTGAAACAAGTTATTGAAATACATCAGATTAAAGAGTTAGACAGACACAAGAGAGTTTTAATCTAAACTCATTTTAATCTCAACACCAATGACTTCAACATTAGGTGATGACATCCCAACAGTAGTCATGGTTTCACTTAGTATTTGTGTCAATATTAAAGACTACTTTTCACAAATAAACTGAAATATAACAGTACTGAACCCGATCTGCAATCTAGTCGATTGTATGTTGAACCATAGACTCCTTTATTTCATGGAAAGAAATCCATTTTTCTCTTGATTACAGAGCACAAGGCAACACAAAATAATCCTTGGATAAAAATCTATAATCGCTAATCGTGGAATTGAATTAGTATATCTCAGGATTCTTACCGATTAGGTCTCTTCATTGCTGGTAATCATTAATTTACCGATTTGATTTACCCATACAAGCAAAATAAATAGGAGAGATGAAATACCATTAGCCGTCCCATGATAACTAATTTATTAAGCAAACCTGAACTTCATTTTACATTTTGTTTCTGTTATTATATTGACAACATTAATATTTTTTACTTGTTCTAATCAGTTAATTTGGTTTAAATCAGCTTGGTTAACAAAATAACACAAACTTTCATTGGTTTATTTATCCTCACTAAATGACTTACACAATACGACAAGTCTCACTTTTAATTTTATTAACATGATTGGACGACCTATCTAGTATAAACTTAACCAGTGAATCATGTATTTATATTCGACAATTTTGGTGTTTGACTGTAATTCATTGAAAAAAAGCTTGAACCAATTAGCCGAGTGAGACCTTGGAATTTTGAAATTCAGTTGCTGGAATTTTTCACAAATATAATTTTCCTCCTTCATGAGTTACATTAATTCGGCTCGCAAATAATACGAAACAATTCGTTCAGACTTAAACTAAAGTTCTCATAAATTACGAATCCAACGCTTTATCAACTAATCCATACAACTCATATAGTTTGTTTTCAATTTTTACCATTACTAGACCACATTTTCTTTAATTTTAATCCACTAAATGCATCTGATATTAAAATCTATGGTGAATCACTCATCTGCCTTGATATAAAATGTCGAAATTGTAAGCGTTTCCTTTAGCATATATTTAGAATCGAATCTCATCGATCTATGCTAGCCTACAAGGATGAATAAATATATATCTCGACAGTGTTTACATTAACATATCTACTGTATTTCAGATAATGTCCTATTAATTTAATTCTAGATATTTGAAAAGGAATAAAATGCAAATCCTTAAAACTAATAATTAACATATCTTAGTAGTTAGTGCATTAGACGCTTTAGCATTGTATACTGGAAGCGAAGATTAGTGTGTTAGTCAACATTAAGATGCTGTTGACACATTAATCCAACAAGTTTTAAATAGGGAGAAAAAGTACATTCTTGATTTCACTATTAACCACTACCTATAAGATAAAAAAAGGAATGAATAATTTTTAAGGATAAAAAAGTTTTAATTAATACATGGTTCGTATCAAGTAATTCAGTAAGCATTAGTTAAATGTAACACTAATATTCAATCGATACTATTTGCTTCTTTATGGATTCTTCAGATGTATACTATATATATATACTAATTAATTTCAAAGATTATTGATCAATCCAACATTCTGGAATGTTAGCTACGAACAAAATCACTTAAATTTTCATTTATTTTACTATTTCGATGAGAAAAATGTCTGATGGCATCGCTATATTTATTGACGGCAACAAATTTACACCGTTTAAAATTTTACTCCACATAGTTACAGAAGTAGCCTGTCAAAGTGAGATATATTTACTGAAGTTATACTAAAGAAAAATCTTGTTCCACTAATATGGACTTTCATTAATTCAAAGAGGAGTAGTAATAAAGAAATTCAGTTTTTTGAATTATTCACAAACTTTCCATTTTAATGATTAATTTGTAAAAACGATAGTAGATACAGTCATAATTATGAGAGAACTTCCTTCCGTTTTCACATGTTTAAACGTGTGTATTTTCAATATTTGGCAATATACATATTGATTAGCGTTATTTGTCAAAAAACGTATTACTTGGCGAAATCAATTGGTAGATATCACTGAAACCGATTAAAATCCACATCAGGCAAATGGTATTGACTTTGATGTTAC